GGCGGGAGCGTGCGCGCCGACGCTGGGGAGGCGGCGCGCCAGTAGCGCATCACCTCCGGCGGGCCATTTAAAAAGGGCCCGCTGGAAGGGCGGGGGGGTGTGACCTGGGAGGAGGACTCCTGAAGGGCTTGGGGCCGGGCACAGAGAGATGCTGCCCCAGGAAGCCCGGTGCCCCGATGAGGACCCCCAGAGATGGGGGATCGAAGACGTATGTGACTGAGGGTTACTGAGAGACCCAGACCGGATGGAGGAGGAAGGGCCCCTCCAGCGCCGAGTGACCACACCACGGTAGGCTATGGGGACCCCACGAGGAGGACTCCTGAAGGGCTTGGGGCCGGGCACAGAGAGATGCTGCCCCAGGAAGCCCGGTGCCCCGATGAGGACCCCCAGAGATGGGGGATCGAAGACGTATGTGACTGAGGGTTACTGAGAGACCCAGACCGGATGGAGGAGGAAGGGCCCCTCCAGCGCCGAGTGACCACACCACGGTAGGCTATGGGGACCCCACGGGGAAGCCACCAGGGACCGCGAGGGGGAGGAAGCAGCCCGGGGTGGGGCCCTTTTGGTGCCCGTAGGTGGACGCGTTTTGGGGAGGAATCCCACATCCGCCACACAGGGAAATAGCAGACCCCTGTGCTTAGGGCCCCAGGCTGGGACCCGGTGGAGAGGGTGGGCCCGGGTCCCCCTCCCCCCTTACCGCTGCCTTCGGGGGTCGAAGACGGTTCCAGCACTGGCGAGTGGGAGCCGACAGCAGATCGCGGAGAGAGGCTTCGCACAAAGGGACAGGCGACCCCTGGGTCCGCAGATCCCCCGGACTCAGTCGAAAGGCTGGGGGAGGCCATCGATGGGGTTCGCCGAACCCCCCTCCTGGGCGGGAGGGGGTGATCGCACCCCGAGGCGGTCGCAGCATCTATACACAAAAACTATTTTGAAATAGCAAGTCCACACTGAGTGGACCCTGAACCGAAGTTAAGGCTGGCCGGAACCAGTGCTGGCAGGGCATCAGGTTGGGACTTAGTGTGTGGGGCTGTTGCCTGAGGCTAACTGAGCTTCGTGCTTAAAGGTACCCTAGTCCCACCCTGGACAGACAGTTCTCAGGGTTCCCTGCTTGCTTGTCTACCTCGATGAGGGACAGCAAAGCAGTCCTGTCTTGGAGTGCCCTGAATGCCCGCACTCGGGACACCACAGCACTCGGCCACATGGAGCCAGAGCTGCCCCTGGGCACGCTTGTGCGTCTCATAGGGTCATTGCCATCAGCCCGGCTGCACTTGCTGCAGGCTTCCATCCGGGGATCCATCGGGGGGCTGTCAGGATCCAGGAGGCCCTGAGGGAGAGCGTCTACCCTTACGAGCACTAAGAGCCTCCCTGGTCTGCCCCCCCTTGGGGGCTTGTGCCTCATTCCTCCTTCACGTCCTTCCACTTACCACTACTTAACTCCCCTTCCTGATGTAAAATAAAATACATGTATTTTCATGAATGCAAACTCTTTTTGGGGCTGTGTCTACATTGGCCCCTATTCCGTAATAGGGATGCTAATGTAGCACTTTGGAATAGGCAAATCCGCGGGGGATATTTAAATATCCCCCGCGGGATTTGCATTTTCATGGCTGCCGCTTTTTTCCGGCTTGTAGATAAACTGGAGAAAAGCACCAGTCTGGACGCGATCCTCCGGAAAATAATCTCTTTTCCGGAGAATCTCTTATTCCTACTTTCAAGTAGGAATAAGAGATCCTCCGGAAAAGAGCTTATTTTCTGGAGGATCGTGTCCAGACTGGCGCTTTTTTCCGGCTTATCTACAAGCTGGAAAAAAGCGGCAGGCATGAAAATGCAAATTCCCCGGGGGAGATTTTAAATCCCACCTGCTCCAGCCCCTGTCAGGCTCCGGGGAGCTGGCAGACTGCTCCTGGGGAGCGGTGGAAGGCTGGCTGCCAGTGGGTTGCTGGCTCATGTTTTGGGGCCACTGGGTCAGGGGCCCTGGTGGCCACTGCTGGCTCTGGGCTGGCAGGCTTGGAGCTGGCACAGGCACTGTGGCCAGGGTCTACCCCTTTAATGGCTCCGGGGCTGGGGGAGAGGAGAGTAAGTTTTCCTGGTTGTGCCCAGAGTGGGCACCAGGGCTCCCTGGGAAGGGCTGGAGGCCCCCTATTTCAAATTAAGTGTCTACACAGCACTTAATTTGAAATAGCTATTTCGAATTTGGTGTTACTCCTTGTAGAATGTTTACCAAATTCGAATTAAGGGCTCTGCTATTTCAAATTAACTTTGTAGTGTAGACATACCCACAGTATTTTGACACTATTTTGACATAACTGCCTGCTGTGTAGATGTGGACTAGTGTGGCAGTGTAGCTGTACCCTCTGTCTGTCTGTCTGTCTCAGGACTGTATGTTGCCTCTGGTCCAGGCTCTCTGAGAACCTTGGATGTCATTTCAGTAGCCATAGCAAAATCCTTAGTGGATCTCATGGTGCTGCTCCATCTTAACTTTCAAAGTGAAAGTTTGTGGTGTCTGTGGAGGACCCATTTGTTCTGGTCGTGGTTTTTCAGGAGTCGGCTGGGGGTTGGGGGTGTTGCTTGGGTCCACGGGTTTTTAGGGCGGGGCTGCCTGTGTAGATGGTCAGCGTTCGCTCAGACAGCACCGTCGGTGTTTGGGCCTCTGTGGAGATGCCAATATGTCATCTCCGTGATGAGGCTTTCTGAGGAAGCGGCGAGTTTTCTTTCCCCAGTGCTAACGGGGAGCAGAAAAGATGCCTCCATGGCGAAGTTCTTTTGAGAACAATTATAGAACCAGGGCCGGACTAGCAACATGGCTGGTTTAAAACGGACCCTGCTCTGCCCCAGAGACACTAGTCTGGGTTCAGCTCTGACACACACTGGTGGGCGCAGAGTTCCGGTGTCCGGACTGATCCCCGACTATGAGTACGACCAGGTGGGTGAGGTTATTTAACTGGGACAACTTCTTCAGGGGAGAGACGCCAGCTTCCAGACTCCTAGGGAGCGGCTCTGCATGTCCTAATAGTCAGCTCAAAGGTTCAGCTCTCTCACCGACAACGGGATTCCCACTGTTCTTGGTAGGACATGTTGGGCTGAGGTATTTACCGGCTGCCATGTCTAGATAGATAGATAGATAGATAGATAGATAGATAGATGCAGTATTGGAAGAAGAAAGAAAGAACGAAAGAAAGAGGACGTGTGTGTGGATAGATAGGTAGGTAGATAGATAATGCTGTTTACTATGACGTTTGCTGTTCTTGCTTTTCAATTTCCATCTCTTTATTTCCTTATTCTGAACTCAATATTTTTTTTCTTTCTGGAAAATAAAAGGAAAAAGTCAAGGCCCGGTTGCAGTGATTGTATTTTTCAAACACGCTGTTTGTTCCAAAGTTAATTTTTGTTTCTGATTGATAAATACATGGATGGGATTGTTGACATTTGTCCACTTCATTTTTTAGCAGATTATTTCTAATGGGAATTCCCTCGTGTATTTTTTCCAATCCCTATAAACTCTTGGCTTGCGCTGTGTTCTAACAAAACAGGGTTCGAGTCCGGGTGCTTTGCAATCGCGCTGGTTTCTAGTTTTGGCACTGCAAGCGCTGCCAGAGCTGGGCCAAGCAGAGCACGGCTGTGCTGAAAGGAAGTGGGGAGGTGTAGGGAGGGCAGGATTCAGGAGCCCCAGTGCGTCGGGGACAGGCAGGAGGGCTGAGGGCTGCCTGCGGAGCCCCTCGGGGCTGCATTCGGCTACGGGCCACTCATCACGCACAGGGAGTTCTCACTGAAACAGTCAAACTCTCTTAGGGTATGTCTACACTACAAAGTTAGTTCGAACTAAC